TGGACTAGTATCCCCCCACGTGGCCTTGTCCCACTGCATTCTCCACTCCTCTCCCTGCGGCCCGGGCCCAGGGTTGAGTCTTGCCGCCGGAGGTGGTGTGCGCTGTTCCTCGTTCCAGGCATAGGCAAGCCTGGTCCATCTGTCACGTCGTTCAGTCAACACCTCCACTGGGCCCCTGATGTGAGCCGCACATTGTGCGAGACACTGAACCTGAGTTTGACCCAGGCCCCAGCTGCAGCCCAGCCCTGGTCAGAGGGGCCACAGAACAGGAGAGAGGCACTGCTTGGCCCTGCCTGTGGCAGGCTGGAAGCCACAGGGTGGGGGTGCTCGGGGTTCTTTTTTCTTTTTTCTTCTTTTATTTTAATTATTTATTTACTTAATTTTAAGATTTTACTTACTTATTTGACAGAGAGAGACACAGCGAGAGAGGGAACACGAGCAGGGGGAGTGGGAGAGGGAGAAGCAGGCTTCCCGCTGAGCAGGGAGCCCGATGCGGGGCTTGATCCCGGGACCCTGGGATCAAGACCTGAGCCGAAGGCAGACGCTTAACGGCTGAGTCACCCGGGTGCCCCTCTTTATTTTATTTATTTAAATGCAATTAACAGTGTATTATTAGTTTTAGAGGTAGAGGTCAGTGATCATCAGTTGTATGTAACACCCAGTGTTCATCCATCACATGCCCGCCATTGTGCCCGTCATCCAGTTACCCCACCCCCCACCCCCCCTGCTCAGGGTTCTTAGGGACACTTTTGCTTTTTCTTGAGTTTTAATAAAACTTGAAAATCCCAGCCTGTCCCAGCCCTGCTGAGAGAAGAAGGGAATGGCGTTTTTCCCGAGTCTCACTCGGAGGGACAGGGAAGTAGTGCGTTGTCTTGAGGCCTGCAGGGTGGCACCAGTAAAAACATGCATAAGAGGACTCGGTCCTTCCAGTCAGCCCTCTGCCCTCGCTGCTTCCCCATCACGCAGTGTCACATGCGTGGCTCTTAGTTGACACCACCCCCACACCTGATACACAGATGTCTAACAGCTGTGGGGAGTCTCCCTGATGACTTAATGACCTGAGTTTCTTTGGTGGTTTGCCACATTTACACCGGAGTTCCAGGTCCCCTTGTCCCACTAGAATGTTCTCTCATCTTCTACTTATAAGTAATGACTTAAAAACAATGTAAAACACCTGGTAAAATAAAAACAAGTTTAGATAATTCTGTTTATACCAGGAGTTAAAACATGCCTTGTCAGCCCACACAGATACTTGCGTTTAGCTTCTCCATAGCTGGTGGTGTCCGGAATCCCCGGGTGCTGTTCTCTCCTCCCCCGGATCCACACAGAAGCCCCCACCAACCTCAGCCTTCCCTCCCTATAGGACCTCTTCTCGGCCCTAATCAAGGGCCCCACTCGCACCCCCTACGAGGATGGCCTCTACTTGTTTGACATCCAGCTCCCCAACATCTACCCAGCCGTGCCGCCCCACTTTTGCTACCTCTCCCAGTGCAGTGGCCGCCTGAACCCCAACCTGTATGACAATGGGAAGGTGTGTGTCAGCCTCCTGGGCACCTGGATTGGAAAGGTGAGTATAGTGCCGACCAGCCGGGGTGGAAGGGCGGCTGGCCGGGGGCGGGTGTCTGGGACAGAGGTGACCGTCCTGGGTGTGTGTGTTTCAGGGGACGGAGAGGTGGACGAGCAAATCCAGCCTTCTGCAGGTGCTCATCTCCATCCAAGGTATGGCGGGCAGGGTGAGGGGTCGGGGGGGGGGCGCTGCTGGAGGGTACGCTGGCCTTTCCACCCTACCCCTCCCGTCGACAGCTCCGGCTGTCCTCGGGGGGCCCTCAGCCCGGCCCTGATGGGCTCCCCCCCGCCCCCCCCCCCGCCGCCACAGGCCTAATCCTGGTGAATGAACCATACTACAACGAGGCGGGCTTCGACAGCGACCGGGGCCTGCAGGAGGGCTACGAGAACAGCCGCTGCTACAATGAGATGGCGCTCATCCGCGTGGTGCAGTCCGTGGCCCAGCTGGTGCGGCGGCCCCCCGAGGTCTTCGAGCAGGAGATCCGGCAGCACTTCCGTACCGCCGGCTGGCGGCTGGTGAGCCGCATCGAGTCCTGGCTGGAAACCCACGCCCTGCTGGAGAGGGCCCAGGCGCTGCCCAACGGGATCCCCAAGGACAGCAGCTCCCCGGAGCCGCCTGCCGTGGCCGAGCTCTCCGACTACAGCCGAGAAGAGCCTGAGGACGGAGGGCTGGCCCCTGGAGAGGCCTCCCAGGGCTCAGACTCGGAGGGCGGTGCCCAGGGCCCGGCCTCAGCTAGCAGGGACCGCACAGACCAGACCTTGGAGGCAGCGCCTGACGCCCCGGTGCCACCCAGCGTCAAACCAAAGAAGCGGAGGAAGAGCTACCGGAGCTTCTTGCCTGAGAAGAGCGGCTACCCTGACATCGGCTTCCCTCTCTTCCCACTTTCTAAGGGTTTCATCAAGAGCATCCGGGGTGTCCTGACGCAGTTCCGGGCCGCTCTGCTAGAGGCAGGCATGCCTGAGAGCACAGAGGACAAGTAGCTGCCCGCCCTCGAGGAAGCAACGTCCCGTGGGGGGAGGCCAGCTGCTGCCCGCTCACTCCCTCCCCTGGAATCGCCCGTCTTCCTGTTTTCTCCTTTGTCCCCAATGCAAAAGCCCCTCATTGCCCTCCCCCCAAGGTGAGTTTGATGCTGAAGTGCAAGAAGTTTCTTGAGATGCTGCCGTTTCTTTCCCGAAGCAGTCTTTCAGCAGGCCGGTCCCCTGTGGCAACGAGAATCTGAAACCTGTTGCTGATTTTCCACTTGTCACCTAGGCAGAGTGTCCTGGCACCTGCTCCCTTGCTGTCCCCATCTCAGGTCGGAGGTGGGTCTTCCTGGGGCCTGACACGAGGGCTCTCTTGGGGCCCTGCGGCAGGACGAGTGGATGTGCCTTGCATGAAGTGTGGGTTGCTCCAGCAGTTCCCCCAGTTCCTGTCGACCTCCCCAGTGCCCCCGTAGCTTCCCCGGTCCCAGGCCCTCCTGCTGCCACCGCCACCAGCCCTCCCCTGTCCTCCCCCCCCCCCCCCCCCCAGCTGCTGTCACCGACTCCTGGCTCTGCTCTGGACCATTTACCACAGGATAACCCTCAGGCCTGTTGAACTTGCTCTCTAAGAGAGGTTGGGACCAGGCTGGGTCCAGGGGGACACCCAGGAGAGGTGGCGGCCCTCACATGTGACATGGAATGAGGACCGGGGAGCTGCTGGAAAAACGGCGGTAGGTGCCTTGCTCTGGCGCTCCGGCCTCCCCCCTGCTGGCCTGGGCCCGCCACCACAGCTCCGCTCCCGGCTCGGCTCGGCTCCACCCCAGCCCCACCCCAGGGCCCCTGGTGGCCAGGCAGCGGCGTGGACAGGGCCAGGGCTAGGGCCTCTCTCGCACACTCTGCCCCTCCCACCATCAAATGCTAACGCTGGGAGGTGGCCCGTAGCTCACTGAACACAGAAGGAGCCAGCCGCACTCGGCCTCCCGTCGCTGACAACTCTGCAGGCTCAACCCGGGGAGAGAGAGGTGGCCGACAGGGGTTCTCCTCCCTCTCAGACAGGCCCAGAGGTTTACAAGTTTTCTAAGCTTTTGATAATGTGAAGCTCCAGGTTAAGAGGATGCTGTTGAGCACATTGCAGCTATGTAATTTTTGGTGTATGTATGTAATATTTAAGGTTGAAAGAAAATCTCAAAAGCAAAGATATTAACTCTTACTAGAAAAAAAGACAAAAAAAAAAAAAAAAGGAAGCCAAAGCATGATGCGTCTTGTCCGCCTTAAGCTGGCTCCACACCTGGGCTGTGCCATAACCCCCGGCAGGCAGCGGCCGCGGGGAAGGACAGAGCCGCGCCACGGGCCGCGGCATCTGGAGCCCTGAGTCGGTATCTTGTTTGAGAAACATCCAGAGTGACTGGTGGGGCTGTGCGCTGTTCATGTGGAGATGTGAATGCCTACTGCTTAAGATCTCTGTATAAAGTGCTGTGTGATTAAACTTTTTTTTTACTTGCATTTTTTTTGTTTGGCTCATTACAATGTACCAAACAGACTAGATGGCACCATTAAACCTGCCTCTGCCATTCATCTGGGCTCTGTCGCCTTTCTTCCCCTCCGGGGCACCTCACACGTCCCTCCCCAGGGGAAGCCAAGACCCGTGGCCAGAAAGGTTCACGGCACCAGCTCCTTCCACCCTAGCCGGTCTGCGTCTGTGCCTTCCGTGTTTGAAGCCGCGGGCGTCCCGGGGGCTGGAAGACGGGGGCCTCGTTCACTGGGGCAGCGCTCTTGTTTGTGGGGACAGCTTGTGTCCCATTCCTCCAGAGCCGGTTTTTAGCACTATCTGCCAGCAGCGGCTGTGGTCCCCGAGGGCCTTCCAGAGGCTCGGGGAGCCCAAGTTGAAGCGCCTGGCCTGGCCTTTAAGCCAAAATGGTTGCAACCAGTGTGGGGGCCTGGTATCGGCCCCTCCCTGCTTCCTCTTCTTCACTCCCGCCCCCTGAGGACCCGGCAGGGTAGGATAGAGGAGGCTGGGGGAGCCCCAGCGCCCTCGCTGGAGGGATAACAGACTCCTTTCAAGAGAAAACAAGTGCCTCCATTGTGACCTTGTCGCTCCTTGCTGATTTCTGTAATGCCCCCGAAATCAGAGAACGCTTCCCTCTTCACTGAGAGCAGCTGGCTGTGTGGCCCTGGGTACCACATACTAGCTCTGAGTTTGTCTTCCACGTGGGGCCAGGGAGTTGGCTGACCTCCCTGGCTTCTCCCAGGCCAAAGGTGGTATAATCATTGGGGCAGGACCCTAACCCCTGCAAAAAAAAAAAAAAAGCCTGGGCTAGCCCTGCTCCTGTGCCCACCACCAAAATGACGCTTACAAGTTAGTACCATGCATTGGCCCATCCACTGCCCACTACTGGGCATAGCTAATGTGAAGTTCTAGAGCCCCAGCAAGAGCGAGATCCCACTCCCTCCCCAACACCTAGGTTAAACCAGTAGGCTGGGAATGTCACTTTATTTGATTCATGGGGTTGGGCTTCCAGAAACAAAATGGGAGTGGCTTCCATAGGCAGGGAGGCCCAACCAGCTGGGCTCCTGGCCCAGAGCCTCATTCTGGCCTTTGGTAGGCAGAGACTGGCCTTCTAAAGCACAGCCTCCACCTTCCCACTGTCTTCAGGGGTCCTCCTCCCCACCACATGAGCTGTGGACAGGCCCTCCAGGCCTGGGTGGAGGTTGTGGAGGGTCCTGAGCTCCGAGGTGACCAAGTAGGCTAAGGCACGGCAAGGCCCACGGAGTCATAAGGGCTCTCCTGGAGGTGCTCCCTGCTGAGGCTTCTGGCTGGGTGGGGGCTCCATGCAGCCACTGGCCATCCAGACGTAGTCTGGGTGCACCTGGCCCTGCACAGCCTCGCTGACCATCAGCTCGCCATCCACAGCAAACACACCCTTCCCGTCCTTGGGCTCCAGACGGAAGGCAACCACAGGCACATACACCAAGTAGGGACAGTCATAGTCCATGTGCTTCCCCTTCTCCATGGCCAGGAAGAGGCGCAGCAGCATGGCCCGGGACACGCCGGCCCGCACGTAGAACAGATGCATGGTGCCGGCCGCACATCGGCCCATGGGGGCAGCAAACATCTCACTGCCCAGGTGGGAGTGCAGCAGTGCCAGTACCAGCACGAAGTCCTGCTCCGGGACCACAGTCCAGTTCGGGGGCACCGGCTCCTCCAGGGGTACGAGGTGGGCATCCGTAGGCCCCTGCTTGTCCTGCCGCTCCACAGCGGGGGGGGCGGGCACCTGGGAGACCACCCTTTCTGCAGGGAGGTAGGCCAGCGTGCCCTGGTAGACACGCAGGGCCGCCAGGCGCAGGAAGGTGCCCAGAGTGAAGCGCATCTCCCCTAGACGCCGAAACTTCTCACTCTCCAGATCCACGTCGGCAATGAAGCCCCAAGCCAGGCTCAGCACGGAGAAGAGGCGCAGCCCCGAGGCCGTCTGCAGGGACAGCAGGTTCATGGGCGCCAGCAGCCGGCGGCACAGCAGCAACGTGCAGTTGGTCAGGAGGTCCTCATTAGTCACCTGCTCATAGCTGCAAGGGAGAGAGGTCAGATGGAGCCGGGCAGGAGGCCTCACGCGTCCTCCCCTTCCTCGGCCTGGGGACTCAAGGCGGGCAGGGGGACACTGGGTCCCTAGGGCACTGGGAGGAATGACAGATGGAGCAGGTGGAGGCAGGCAGCTGGAGTCACCCAGAGAGGGCCCCAGAACTGGGGGTGCAGTCTCCAGAGAAGAAGGAATAGAAGTTATGTCAGTATATGGGAACTTAGAAAAGAAAACCTGGCAGGAGAGTGGCACCGAGGGGAAACCGAGGCCCACTCTGACCCTGGGCTCTCACCCGGCATAATGGTTCAAAGAAGCTGCCAGTGCATTGCCAGAGCCAGCTGGGAGGCTACATAGGGGCTTCCGGATGGCGGTCTCCCAGTCCGGCCGCTCCATGAGCCCGTTCACCACCTGTTGGAGCGCGGGGGGGGGCGGGGGGGGGGCGGCTCAGCCTGGGTAGCACAGCCCCCCACCACACACCCAGTCCCTCCCAGGCGGGCCTCACCTCATGCATCAGTCCGTCCCCAGACATGACCACCAGCGCATCCCAGCGCCCCAGCTCCTCAACCCGCACCAGCTCCCGAGCGTGGTTCCGTCGCTCTATGGAGAGACAGGGTGGCCACGAGGGTCTGGGGGGCCCTGGCAAGGGATACTCCCTGCAACCCCTCGGGGAGGCACTCACCAGTGAGCATCAGCGTGAAGGAGATATCGGCCTGAGCCAGCAGGGGCTGCACGTGGCTGCGGAAGAGCTGCAGCGCCTTGCCCTTGCCCCCGCGCGGGTTTAACAGGACCAGCACGCGGCAGGGCCTGGGCAGCGGCCTCCTGGCGCCGCCCGCTGGAAAAACAAGCCCCAAGAGGCCGCGTCCCCAACCGGCCACTAGGGGGCCGCGGATCACCACAGGGGTACTGGGATGGAAACGTGGGGACTGAAATCTCCTGGAAATTGATCCAACAGAGCCTGGCAGGAGGCAGCGGCCTCCAGTGGGGAGCTCCAGGAGGGAGCACCTCGCCCTTGACACCCCGGTCCCTGGCTCGAGCCGGGCCAGCTTCTGGCCTCGTGTCAGGAAAAGTGTTTCGATTGTCCCCAGCCCCTCTCTTTTGCCCAGCTGACTCTGGCCATTCTTCCTGGTAAGGGAGGAAGAGACCCCCCCCCCGCCACAGCCCTTCCCCACCGGGACCCCACAAACCTGGATCCATAACCTCGACCCGCGGCTCCCGCTGCCAGGGCGTCCCCAGCGCTGTCGGGGAGCTGCCCGCGGCGGCGGCTCCTGCCTTCAGCTCCTTATCGGTGCTGCCCAGGCGGGCGTCGCGGTGCGGGCTGAGGGGGTCGCCCTCCCCGCCCGGAGCCGGGGCCGTGGAGGCACCCGCGTCATCCCCTGCGGCTGCCGGATCTGAGGGAGAGGAGACAGCGCTGGCGGAGTCCGGAACGGCCCCCTGAGGTGGGGAGCGTCCAGCTAGATCCTCGGACCATGCGCGGGGAGCCGCGCGCTCCGGCATCGCCTAGTCCTCCGAGAGGTCCAGAGAGCCGAGGTCTGGTGCCACCAAGGGCTGAGCCCCCACCCGCAGAGGCGAAGGGTCTCTTCCTGGGGGCTCTCCTCTCAGGGGCGTCGGGTTCCGGCCCGACGATGAGTCAGAGCCCCGTGGCTCTCTCGGTCGCACCAGCTCCTCACCCGCCCCGGGACTGCCAGGGGGAGGGGGGTCCAGTTGCGTAAAAATGCCAGAACTTGAGCGGACATCGCGCGGCACGAAGTTCGGCGCGAGCGATCGCCGCCCCGAGCCGGCCGGGTGGCTGCGTCCACTACCCCGAGCTCCAGGGCGGCGGGGGTCGCCGCACGCGCCTCCCAAGGCCCGGCAGCGCTGCAGGGACGCGCGCCTCGCTCGTGGGAGCAGCGCCGGGGTCGCGCGAGGGCTGAGCCCGAGCCCCGCCACCGGCCGCCGCCTCCCTCAGCGGAGCGCCGAGTGGGCGCCCAGGAGCCACGAGCGGCGAGAAGGCGGGGCGGGAGGCCCTACCCAGTCGGTCCGGTTTGCGGGGGAGGCGCCACCTCCGTTCCCTACAGTGGCCTAGGGCGGAACTCAGCTCGTCCCGGGCTCGGCCCCACGTCTGACCGACAACCGGAGCGCCGGACTAATGCTGACTGCACGGCCTCTCCGCCTCTGGCCTCAAACTTTTTGCTCAACTTCGCCGCCAGGCGCCGCGGTGCGGGAAGGACGCTGTGCCTCTGCGCCCGGCCTGGCCACACCCCGCGCTCCCCGCGCTGGCGGGGGTGGAACCGGCTCCTGGCGTGGCCTGGCCTGCCCGCCCCCCCGCCCCTGGCATCACCCCGCCGCCTCCCGCACGGTCAGCGCCCGCGGCTCGGCCACGCGCAGACGCTTGGCTGGGTCCCGGAACGCGGTCACGCGCGCCCGCCGCTCAGACTGGGCGACCGGCGAGAAGGCGGTGCCGCCGCGGGGCCGGAGTCGGCAAGGCGCAGAGCCCCGGGTCCGGCCACGAGCGGCGCGCCCCGAGCTCAGCGTCCCGGGCGCGCAAGGGTGAACGCGCGGCGCCCAGAGTCGGAGCGGCCCCGGTGGGGCGCGTGGCGCGCGCGGCTCGAAGCTGGGGGCAGACCCTAGGCTGCCCCTGGACGCTGCGACCTCCCGCCTCGGGGTCTTCCCCCTGCGCGCGCCCCGCCCCAGTCCACCGGAATTCGAGGCCCAGACCCGTCTGGGTACCCCTCCTCTGTGCCGAGGCGTCTCTCCTGCCGCGCCCGCTCGCCCCCGAAGGATTATTTTTGGCTTCCTGGCACGGCAGCTCGGCAGCGCAGCCACCGAGCCCGAGGCAGCCAGGCGCCCCCCCACCCCCACACCGCGGGGAGGCAGGCGACCCGCCGAGGGCGGGGGCTGCGGTCCGGAGGAGGGGGCCTTCTCAAGAACCTTAAAAGTTGGATCTTTTCCCCAGTGGAAACCATCGAGGCTCACCTGGGCGAGAGAAGCTGCCCGGCAGCAGGCGATCCTGGCCCACGCCCCTCACCCGCCAGAGGGGAGCCTGGCGGTGTAAACAAGGTCTAGGGGTCCCCGTCGGGATTGGAGAGCCGCACAACGGGAGAGTGGCCCCCGCCGCCTCCCGGCCCCACCGGCTCAGCGGGAGGATGCAAGCGCCCCGGGAGTCTTCACTTCGACGGAGGCAAACGGGGACACGTGTGTCAGTGTGTGTGTGAGTGAGTGAGTGATATACGTGCCACGGGCAAGGGTCTGACCTGAACGTGTCCGCGACCAACTCGAGTTAAGTCCCTGGGGGGTTGTTTGCGGAGACCCGGAGGAGGACGTTGCCAAAGCCGACTAGGTGACCTGACCAGGTGGGGCCAAAGTTAGAGAAGGCCTAACCCCCTGAAGGGCGCGGAGGTGGTCCGGGCCCAGCCCGCTCCGTGCTCACGCGCCCCCAGCTGCGGCCACCAGCCCCTACACCCCCCGCTCTCGTCCACGCCCGTGAAAACCGAGAAGACGCCGGGCCCGCCGCGCCCGTAACTCGGGCACGCCTCCGTGGGGTCTCTTCCGGGGGACGCAGGCAGCCCGGCCCCGTTTCCCAGCACCTGGGGGGCGGAGCCCGAGGTCCCCGGCTGGGAGGGAGGCGCGGGCTGGGACGCGCGGTCCCGGGGCCTCGCGGCTCGGCGCGCGTCGCAGTGGTGCGCGCTTCCGCCTGGCGCGGCCCCCGGGCGGCCCTGGCTGGGTCCTGAGCGTCCCGAGCGCGTTCCGGGAAGGTGACTCAGCGACGCGCTGCAGGGTCGAGAAACTCCGTACAACTAAGAACGAGGGGAAGGAGCTGGGGCGTCGTCCCCCGCTCGCGGCGCCGCGGCCGCGGTCTTGAACGTCCGGGCCCCCCACCCCCCAGGAATCCGGCACGGGGAGGGGAGGGCAGCGCTGCAGCCGCAGTGCCGTGGTCACGCGATGCGGGGACGCGAGCGGCGGCGGGAGGGGGAGCCTCAGTGCGGGGAGCCAGAGGGCCAGATCCAGCCCACCCTCCCCACTTCCTCCTCCCCTCCCGTCTTCCCCTCCAGTGAAGGCTAGGGTCGAAGGCTGGATTGGGCGCCTGGAAAACGCGGGACGCGGGGCAGTGCTCCCCGAGATCTCAGCCTGGAGGGAGGTGGCTGCGGAGAAGGCCAGTGTAGCCTCCCCCTCTCCCCCGCTCGGGAGGGCACCTCAATCAGGCCTGAAGAGCCGCCGCTTTAAACCTTGGAGTCCGGTGGGAAACTGAGGCACAGGGAAGGGAAGACCTGGTTGGGCAGGAGTCCGTGGTGAGAAAGCTCGCCTGCTCCAAGGTCCCTCTCTTCCTCCGAGCGCCCCAGGCTGGAACCCCTGGAGTCGCAGGGCCGGGCGGGGCGGGATTGACCCGAAAGCCTGCGGGCGAGGGGAGGCGGGGCAGCCTGCTGGCTTCTTTATCCGGCCTCCGGGGGCCCGGTGGGAGGGAGGTGAAGGGCAAAGCCCTCTGGCCCCGGTTCCAGTCCGCACAATGGCTCCTCTGTCCTCCCTGCCGCCTCTTCCCCTGCCCCCCTCACCTCCACGGTCTCTGCTCTGCCCCCCTCATTCTTGTCGTTCACCTCCTGGTTCCCAGGCTCCGTCTCTCCAGGCCCCCACTGACCTCCATCCTCTCTCTAAAGAACCATATCTATTTCCAGCAATTCACCCATCAGTACCCCAGGCTCAAGAGACAGGATTGGGCAAGAACACGATGCTTGTGGCCCTTTGACAGTTGGGGGAACCGAAACCCAGGGAGGTGAAGGGTCTTGCCCAAGCTGCCGAACCAGTTCCCAACAGAGCTGAGAAGCGGGCCCAGGAGTCCTGCCCCCAGCTTGAGACACTGAGCCCACCCCAGACTTCTCGCTGATGATTGAGTGTCCGTTGACCCGGTAGGTGGCTTCCCACAGAGCTTGCCCCCATGCCCCCGCTGTGCAGGGTCTCCCAGAGAAAGAGGAAACATCTTGAAGCCCTCTCCAGGCTTCCTCCCCCATGTCCTGATCAAGCAACTAGGCCCTGTGCCCAGCAGGTCCACCGTGGGCCTGGCCTCTGGCTTGATCTGACCTGATTCCCAGCTCGCCTTGAAGGTAATACCTGTCTCACAGGTGAAAAAGACCGCCTTTCCGTCTCTCCCAGCCACCCCCTTCCTCCTCATGGACAGCCCCCTCCCCAGGGAGACACACCTGACAGCTCCTAAAGCAGGAATTTACTGGGCCTGGCTCCAGCTCTCCGGAAACTTGGAGCCAAGGCCGCCAGATGGCAAATGACTTGCTTTTATTAGGATAGGATTCCAGCCATCCCATCGTTCCCTGAAGCAGTCCTCCCTGGGAAGTTTCAGCTCCCAAGCTGAGTTGCAGAGCCTCCAGGCCTCCCTTGACCTTGAGTCCTTTCTGCCTGGGAGGCTGCAAGAGCAGGGAAGGAGGGTGTCCGTCCCTGCAAACTCTTCTTCAGACTCGTGTTCTAGAACAGCCCCAGATGTGGCTTTCCATTCTGAGAGTTTCCTAGACGCTGCTGACCGTGCCAGGCATTGGGGGGTGGCGGGGTGTGCCGCACGTGGCCATCCAGGAGGGCAGACTGGTCACGCAGGATTCTTGGTTGCTCGCAGGGAGTGTTCAGAGTTTCTGTTTCTTCTGTAGCGCATCGACTCTGGGCGTGTGGTGCGGTCAGCCTCGCTCTACCTTCTGAGTGGCCTTCTCGTCCTCCTGCGTTTACTTGCTGGGGCTGGGAGCACAGGTCTTGTCTGGGCTCTGCCTTCCACCCTCACCTCCAGGCCTGCCGGTTCTAGCTCGCTGACACGGTCATTAGCCTCAGGAACCCTCTCAATGTGGCCGCCTGTGGGCCACGCCCACTCCGCTCACTTTCAAAGCCTGCCCAGCAGCTGAAGGCTATTCTGTTAGTTTCTTGGGGTCATTGTAACAAAGTGCCGCGAACCGGGTGGCTTGCCAGAAATCTACCGTCTCACAGACGTGGAGGCCCCAATCTGAGATCAGTATGTTGGCGGGGTCAGTTCTTTCTGGGGCTGTAGGGGAGGATCTGTCCCAGGCCACTCTCCTAGTGCTGGTGGTTGGCTGGCAAACTTTGCTGTTCCTTGGCTGGGCGATGCATCCCCGCACCTCTGCCTTCATCTGCCCTTGGCCTTCTCCCTGTGAAAGATTTGGCTGAATCTGTTCCTTAGGGTCTGCCTGATCTTCTGTGGGAGTGTTCTTTTGCAAATGCAAATTGCTCTGGGAGGAAGAACAGAGGAGTCATTAGGACTCTAGTGTGAACTAATGTATTACAATTTTTTTAATGTTGCACATTTTCAATCAAAAATGCACATACGAGGTGTCCTGAGAAAGGGACATGCTCATGCGGGTGTTGGAGGAAAGGGGTGTCTGGAAGCCAGACCCACCTTCCTCCCTGTGTTGTCAGGGAGCGATCTGTTGGGAGGGGTTGTTTATGTCTGCACCGGCTGCCACACTTCCTTCCTTGCACGCCCAGGCTTGCACACTGCTCCCTTGACTTTCAGATCTCACTTTGCACCTTGACTTATGGTGTCTTTGGCTCCCTGAGAAGATGCGTTTGTTCCCCAGTCCTTGGAAGAACAAAACTGAGTTGTGTGTTAGCATATTAGGTTCCCATTGATGCCCAGATATCAGAATTTCAAAAGGATCAGCAGGGCTGTGTTGCCCTGCCTGTTCCAGCTTCTAGGGGCCATCTGCATTGTTCGGCCCAGGACCCTCCCTTCATCCCAAAGCCAGTGGCACAG